TGCTAATGTAGCATTTTTTTCAATTTTTCCAAAAATTTCCGTTTTTTCCGAGCTTCAAAATTTCCGGAAATTTTACATCTCCAGCTGTCTCTCCAGCACTGGATTACTGCCTGCTCCCTAGCTCAGTAGACTAGAAATATAACAACTCTAAAGCACAAGAGCTACATATATATTGCGTGTACTAGAGTGACACAATCTTACATTTTACCTGGATATTTGTTACCAAGAAACTAAGCCAACTCTCTTTGAAGCATCTTATGCAGTGTTGCCTTTCTATATAAGTATTTTCATCTGAAAAAAATAAAATGGGGAAATATTATAGAATCTGTTGTTGATAGTGTGTTTTTCCCCCCCCTTTTCTTAGCCTCTACAACAAACCAGCTGGAATGAATCCCTATGCGCCTCAGAACTTTCCATTTCTTTCACCGTATTTGTCTCAAGAAACGAATAGGTCTCTAGCATCTGTGCCACTTACGGAATCACTTTCTTCGGGCTACGCTACAGATAGACCTGCTGCTCCTTCCTATGGCATGATAATAGAGTTACCCTTGCCTGTTCCAACAGCAGAAACCTTTTCACAGGTGCGTCTGTGTGGCGAAGTCTCTAATTCAAGCTGTTCACATATAGAGCCATTCCAAATACCAGCAATAAAAACTTTGGAGAAGCTACTAAAATTAAGTTTTTATCATTTGGCATACATTTCACTGACTTTAGGGACAGGAAGTATAATTTTGTGTCTAGACTGGCTCCCTGTGTCCCTGTAATAACCCAGCCAAAAAAAAAAAGTGTTCTCTTTTGGCATAGTTAGGTAGCGGGAGGCATGCTGTATATTGATATGAGATGTCCAAAAGGGTAACATTCCACACTTTTTGCCTGCCGCCATAATCAGAGAGAAATGCAGTCCACAGAACAATTTGAATCATTTAAAAGTGAGAGCACAAGTTAGAAGCTCATTCTTCACTCATGATGATGTTCCTATTTATTTATTATTTATTAGTATTTTTACCCCGCCCTCTTCGCGAGCGGGCTCAGGGCGGCTTACAAGAGGGCAACAATGCCCATATATAAAACAAGATTAAAACAAAAATAAAATCCTCGAATCACAAAAGTAAAGTACTCTATAAAGAACAAGATGGTCTTCCAACGGTAGGTGCCAGATCTTTCATTGGAGGTAGATAATGTCCTGTAGCTGGTATATGGTCCTGTAGCTGTTACGCGGCCAGTCTAGTGGTACCAACCCAGGCAGTTAATATATGTGCCAGGTCCATCTACAAGCCTAGGAATGGAACACTTATCTGAAATACAATACTGGCATCTAATGGGCTTTTTAGGGAAAAGAAGAACCAGAGAAACATTGCAGCCAACATCACAGAGAAACATCGCAGCCAAGAACTCCGGCAGGGAGGAAGATCCCAGACAGTGAAATCTTCCTGGATCAAAGGGACATCATGCGATAACCCGCTTGCGCTCTTGACAGCTGCTCCTCATGAGTCATCTGCAGAAACGGAGATTTCTGCGGCTGACTCCTGAGTTGAGTGGCTCAGAGTCCTGGGAATTCATCTGCACTCACAGTTGCGATGTAGTCTTTATATGGACACGAAGCCTGGCCACCTTCATCTCTTGAAGATTTATGAACATAATTATTCTGTAGACAAAGACATGACTCCTTATGGTGACATAAGCCTCTCTTTTTGAGACAAAGTTACCTGAAGGATTTATGGACTTTAAAACTTTTGGCAAAAAGCTTAATAAAGAGGAGATTTTAAAAAGTTTTGAAACTGAAAAAGGAACAATTATTTTTCTACTTTTCTAATCTCTTTTTAATTTTACTTTTTTGACGAAAGTGTGTATGCGGCAAAGTTACTAGTTAAAGAGAACAGACCGCCATGGGATTATTTTTTTTGTTCTTAAAAACTGTATTCAATTGAAAGATTTTACACAACAAAAGATAAAGTAATGATTCAGATAGTGACTGCCATTACTGTGGTGATGTGACTCCAAGTTGTGGAGACTGAAAAGTGAAACTGCTTGATTTGTAATGACTCTACGTTTGTAAGATTTGCTTTTGAATTTTCTTACAATGGCAAATACCAGAAAAAACCAAGGTAGGAGACTTGTATTTCAGCAGACATTAAAAAGAGAAACTGAGTTATTTTGTATATTAAAGCTCATCTAAAACCGGAATTGGTACTGAGTGATTATCATGGTGTAGAAAGAAGTCAACTTTCATGGGGTCAAAACTTTGGTGGTGAGTCTCTGTGCCCCCAAGTGGAGATAAAATGGTGTTTTATAAAAGACTCAAGGATAGTTTAATAGATTTACCATATGAAAGCTGGTGTTTGATAAGGTATTGGAATTGAGTGATTTCCCACAAATAGGACCTCTGAGAAAATATTAAAATGCTTCAAGGTAAACGATCAAGAAATTTCTTTGATTTGATGAACAGTTTGGGTTTGGTTGATTTATGGAGACAGAAAAATGGTAATTCAAGAGAATATACATATTTTTCAGGAAGACATAGATCTTTTTCAAGAATAGATTAGAAAAAAAAAAGAATAGATTAGCAAGATCTCTAAAGTACCTTTTCTTTGTAAACCTAAACATAGACTATGTAGTAATCATACTTGTACTTATCGCATAGAAAATCAGAAGCCTCCTTTTATTTTATTTAGGTTTTTCCTCTTTTTTGTTCTGTTAGTTCTCCGTTATTAAATAAAGAATGCATTTCCCCCCCGGAAACAGCACTCTCGAAAGCTTAATACCCTGAAACTTTAGTTGGTCTCCAAGGGGCTACTGGACTCAAATCTAACTGTTCCGCTGCAGACCACTTTGACTTTCATGTGCCAGTTGCTGTAACTTCGAGTTAAGTCTCCACCAAGTAGATTTTGTTTCAGTTACCACTTTACATTTGTGAACGACGCAAGGGCTGGTCTTTGTATGGTTAGTAGTCAATATCTCTCTGAAAACCATCTCTCCTTTCTGTATCTTACCATTTTCAGGGGAGCCAAAATGGGTACAGTTACAAGATGCCTGATGTTCCTGATGCGTTTCCAGAACTATCGGAACTTAGGTAACATGGCCAGATTCTCCCACATGGCCAGATTCTCCCACATAATTTGGAGGGTATTTGTATGATGGTTGGGCGTACATGTTTCTGCATGTTGAAAAGGATGTGATTTGCATGTACTTTGATTTCAGTTTACATAGATGCTCCTTAATAACATAAACAGTTACACCAAGTCACTTTCCCTGGAAAGGGTTCTCTAATCCGGAGGATAAAGAATAGGATCCCACTTGAATAGTATGGTGAATAAGCGTAATACCATCCATTGCATTTGGGTACTTATGTGCTTTTGTATGTATTCCCTCATTGCTGTTTCTGTGGTTTACATTCCTATCATTGTTGTGGAATCATTTTCGCCCAAGTGTAGTATGCCTTCTTGGCATTCACCAAAAATATGGCAGTATTTCATTTCCAGGATTCTGAAAAGACATTATATTAGAAAATCTGTACAGGGCTTTTTGAGCAAGATATGAGCCTAAGAGAGGCTAACTGTGTCAGTAATATCACAGCCAGAAAACAAGTAAAACAAAGCATTGTTAAAGCAAAAGCAAGCAGATGAATTGTTGCAAAATACTGTTTTTATTTCTTTTGAAATCCAGCCTTTCACAGCTGACAGAAATGAATGAGCAAGAAGACGTGCTGCTGGAACACTTTGCTAATCTGCCTCAGTTGAAGCAAGTCATCGATGATAAGGATGATTTAGTGAAAAGTATTGAAGAGCTAGCAAGTAAGACGTCAAAATGTTTGTAAATCAAAAGAACATTATGGGAAGCAAATGGCTCCCTTCTAGGATTGAATGGTGATTTTTTTTTTTTTTTTTTCAAAAAAAAATAAATCTACTGTTGGAACCTAATTTGGAGGAAAAAAGGCAAGCTGTGCTAGATAAAGTAAGTGGCTGAAGAAAAACAGTTTATATGGAGCTTGTGGAAAACCGTGATTGGCTTTTTCAAACAGAATATTTGTTCCTCCTAGTATGAACAGCTTACCCAGTTGAAGACCGTGTTTGAAAAGAAGATGCAGCGGCAGCATGAACTTAGTGAGGTAAATTTTGATGCTGTCTGCCTAATGAATGGAAGCACCCATTCATTAACTGGGGGATTTCACCACCAGAAAAAGCAGTGTTGGCTATTATATTGCCTGGCCTATACATTTAGCACAGTGAAGTAGTAGCATGCTAAGTTGGTAAAATGGACTGTACTGCTTCAGAATGCAGGTGCTTGACGACTAGCACAGACGGCATGCTTCCTGCTGTTCTGGTTTTCCACTATAGCAGGGTTTTGGTTTATTTACTTAGGGAACTATTTGAAAGTATCATCCCATCCATCCTGGAGTGCTCTTCTCTCATTCTGTCACATTTGTAGATCATTGCTGTTTCTAAAAATGACTTGAAAAGCAAATTGACTCTCGAGAACTAAATGAAACATTCATGTTCAGTAATAGTATGCTTACGGTTACCAGACGTTACTGCAAACAGGTGTTATGAGTATACCTGGCTGTGAGCATCTCATAGCACTGGGGTGGCCAGTGGTTTGTGCAGAATCTGGGACTTAACATTTTCTTTCCAAACAGTACTGATTACACATCAGTGCATGGCATTTATTCTGGGGAACTGACTACAGCCTCGTTAAGCATTGCTGCTTCACAGTGCATTAGCAAGTTTTCACCTGGGGCAAGCACCGTGGTCCTCTGGTGAAGCAGACTCTTATGTCAAACAGCTTTGGAGTAAGCAGAAGTATCTTCCTGCTCCAGAACTCATTGTGGCAGAGAGATCTGTCTCTTTCTCTTTCACATCGGGTGGGGAGGTGGGACAAAACCATTTCTGCCATGCAAGACTTTTAGAGCAGGAGTGTGAGAGATTTGCCCAGCTCAGAGAGAAATGAGACCCACCCTTTCCTCTCCGCCACAACCACTACAGCCAAAACCTTTGCATGCGTGGCAACAGAGGGAAGGCCTAGAGAGCGACACACGCACACCCCAATGACTGAGGTGGGTGGGCCCGGGGGGTCCCTGGAAGGATGTGGGAGGCATTTAAATGCCTCCCCATGCCTTCCCTGGCCTGTCGAAGGGCCGGCTTGCCCGGGGCAAGCCAAGAGAAGGCAGTTTAAACTGCCTTCTCTTGGCTTGCCCCGGGCAAGCCGGCCCTTCGACAGGCCAGGGAAGGCATGGGGAGGCATTTAAATGCCTCCCCATGCCTTCCCTGGCCTGTCGAAGGGCCGGCTTGCCCGGGGCAAGCCAAGAGAAGGCAGTTTAAACTGCCTTCTCTTGGCTTGCCCCGGGCAAGCCGGCCCTTCGACAGGCCAGGGAAGGCATGGGGAGGCATTTAAATGCCTCCCCATGCCTTCCCTGGCCTGTCGAAGGGCCGGCTTGCCCGGGGCAAGCCAAGAGAAGGCAGTTTAAACTGCCTTCTCTTGGCTTGCCCCGGGCAAGCCGGCCCTTCGACAGGCCAGGGAAGGCATGGGGAGGCATTTAAATGCCTCCCCATGCCTTCCCTGGCCTGTCGAAGGGCCGGCTTGCCCGGGGCAAGCCAAGAGAAGGCAGTTTAAACTGCCTTCCCTTCCCTTCAAGGGGGGGCTTGCCCGGGCAAGTAAAGGGAAGGCATGTCGGTGTGGCCTAACATGCTAATATGCTGCACTGTCAGGGTGTGGCCTAAGATGCTAATGAGTTTCTGCTGTTGGGTGTGCCCTAATATGCTAATGAGCTCCTGCTGGGCTTTTTTCTACAAAAAAAGCCCTGGTTGTATTATGTCTAGCTTTTCCGCCAGCATTGTTCTGAGTGTTGCAAGCAAATTGCTAGGCCTTTGCGCTGCTTTGATCTTACTATCATACTTTTTTGTCAGCCTTATATCTTTGCAGAAGTTTTTGGAGTTGTATTTGGGGAGTGTTATGTAATTTACAGAATGTTACTTTTTAAGCACTATGTTTGAAAACTGAATTTCCAGATGCCTTTCAATCATGTTGTAAATGCCAGAAAGCCCCTGAACAAGTAAAACCTTATGCTTGCCTAATGGGGAAGGCTTCCTCCCTCCTGCTGCAATTTCTCATGCATCATTTCTTAGCATTTCAAAGGGTCCTAATATTTTCACAGCCTTTTTAGGAACCTGAGTGCTCCAGTGGAAACTTCAAGCGCATAAAGTAGGGCCTTAAACTATTACCTCTGCAATCTAAGCAACTTACTGTCCCTTTTGAAAATCATAATATCCCATAGTGCTAGCTTTTTTCATAAACTGGGTTATTTAAACTGACTTATTTAAAATATTTATATCCCATCTTTCCACAACACCCAAGGTGGTGACAGTATGAGCTTGTTGCAGATAAAACCTGTGTGAGCTTGATGTGCCCGTTGCTTTTTGCAATGAGAATGTGGTTTTCACCAGACTCTTTCTCAATTATATTTTCTCAGAGTTGTAGTGCAAGCGCTCTGCAGGCAAGACTGAAAGTAGCTGCCCATGAAGCAGAAGAGGAGTCGGACACTATTGCAGAAGATTTTCTGGAAGGGAAAACAGAGATAGATGACTTTCTTAGTAGCTTCATGGAGAAGAGAACAGTATGTAAATCTATCTTAAGTTGCAAAACCACAGTGTTTTTGATTAAATAAAACCCTAACAGCATGCAACCGGTTGAATTAAGAGCCATTTGTGGAGGAGAATTCAGTTCTTCACGCGGTTTTGAAAAGGAGATATGATTTAACATTTTTAATGAAGAACTCTACAGTGGCAATATCAGACTCCTGCAGCAGTTTCCAACAGCTTTCATTCAAAGAAGTAAAGTTTATTGAGACATTGAGAGTATAGAACTGGCATAAAGCGCACAAAGCAATCTGGTATACATTATTCAAGAGGGTCCTCCTGATGGCTAATCAGAGGCCAGGTAAAAGCCCACCAAAGTAATGGGCTATAATTCCCAGGAGAAAGGCAGCACCAGCCACTCAAAGTCAGACGGTTCGGTTACATAGGTAAAAGAAACACTGAAGACACAGCAGAAACGAAAGTCAAAATTCCAGAGTCACCCCCTCACTCCCATGGCAGCTAGCATAGCCAGAGGCCTAGCTGGACAGGCAGACTCATACATATCTTTGGGGCCATGCTACTGTTCATCACCTCCACTTGTCCAACTGCTGATTTCTTGATTTCTCTGTTCATCACCTCCACTTGTCCAACTGCTCCGCTGATTTCTTGATTTCCCAACATTTTTTCATTATTATTATTGGAACACTTCCATACAGCTTTTCTTGACCTTATAGCAAACCTGAGGATGATTAAGAAATGATCATGTAAATCTAAAACAACAGAAGCAGAGCAAGAGTATGTGGCCTGGATTTCCTTCAGTGGCCCATTCCAGAGCTCCAGACCTAGCATTGAAAGAGCCCCGTAATGCCCTATTCCTGTATGAGGGGGTGGAGAAGTTGGTAAAATGTGTACTAAATCAAATGCCTTTTTTCTCACAAAACATTGACGTATTGGGACAAAGCAATTACCCCATAGCTGCCTCATAATTTTATCTGCCTGTGGGGCTCTGAGGTAGTAGACCTAAGCTCTAAGGCTATATTGCACTGAGTAGTACTTGGTACCATATACTCTTCCATGCTGATGCCTTGCATGTTGAAACACAAAAAAAGCTGATGGCCGTTTCTCAAAGTTTCACCTCACTGATGAACCAAGACACTTTTAACAGCGCTGTAGCAAGTTACAGTGCTAAATTACATGCCCTGCAGAACGTGAAACAGCAGGTTATATTATTAATTGCAACGCTGGATATCTGTGTAGTGTGAAAAAATTGGAGAATAAAACTTTTTCATAATGTCCAACAAAATTATACAACAATGTTCAGCCACTGCTTATGATCAGTTAAATGGGAACTACTCTCTAAAGTCTTGAATGAATTATAGAAAAGCTCTTGGGGAGGGGGTGTTTCCCTTGTTTATTTACAGCTCCTTGACATTCCACGTCATCTTATATTCCATTTGGTTTGTGGGGTTTATTTTGAGCCTACCTTTCTTTTTCTATCACAGAATTCAGGGCAGATTACATGAGGTTTGTAGGCTGTCTCATGTCTAGACATTGCTGGCCAGAACAGCTTAGCTTAAGCAAGTTTATAGCATCATGTGTCACTAAA